GAGTACCTAAACTGAAGTACTCGTACTTGTACTCAGTCTTGAAAAAACTGGTATCGGGACACCCCTAATTCAGACTGTAGCTGGAAAATSCAGTGTCCTGTCCTGCAGCATGTGACGTCACGTGCACACAGTTTCCTGTGAGCCCTGCCTGACGGTTCTTTCTTCTCTTTGACTCAGGATAAAGAATCTTCATGCCCAGATCATTGAGAAGGATGCTATGATCAAAGTGCTTCATCAGCGCTCCAGGAAAGAGCCGGTCAAGTCAGATGCCCCATCAGCCATGAGGCCTTCCAAGTCTCTGATGTCCATCTCCAACACTGGTTCTGGTGGGTCAGGACTGCTTTCTCACAGCCTCGGACTCAGCAGCTCACCGATTACTGAAGAGCGCAAGGACACCAGCTGGAAGGGCAGTCTGGGTAAAAACCTGTTTGTTTTCTCTGCTGAGGTTTTACCAGGTGACGCTTCAGACACTAGATATTCCCAACATGTTTGGGATCATCAGTTCAGGATTCAGTCTCTCCTGTAGACAGGAAGTAAGTTACTGAGTGCTTGGTTTAGACTTGAAGCAGCTACCAACATACAGGAACACCACGGGTCATTCAGTTTTCTTATGGTAGTATCTCACTGGGCTGTGGGTGTTGCTAAGAAAACTAATATGAACACATGACTCTGATGTCTGTTTRTAGATCTATTTCAACATTTTCTTGCTTGTTTTTTTTATACTTTTATACTTACTAGTGCTGGGCGGTGTGACCAAAATTTTATATCATGGCCTTTTTAAAACGTGTATCCATTGAGAAGTTATTGAGAAGGCTGCTCCCACAATGACTCCAGCTCGCCCTGTGTGCTGCTAGTTCCTGCATGCACGTTCAGCGGTGCTGCATGGAAAAGCGTTTCCCATGAAACAGTTAACTAGCAGGCTATTTAAATAAGAATGTCAGTATTCTGAAAATTCATATCATAAAAATGAAAATGTTTTTCTGTATGAACCGGGATACCGCCCAGCTCTAGGTACTACCTGGTGAAATTTCTGTGAACTCCTCAACAACTGCTCTCCAGTTAGAGTACACCAGTCTGGAGGAAGTTACATAATACAGTTGGAGTGCGTTTTGACACATAACCTTGTGATTTACTGTTATGAAACTGGACCGGACTGGCAGCCATAATAAGACTGGGCAAATGTTGCAGTTTACATTACTGTACATGCTGGCAGAATAGCAGTAAGGTCTAATCATGTAAAAACTGTAAAAACTGTTAACATTAACAGAAGTATTACTTATACTGTATATTTGAGTGTATATAAGCTATCTAATGCTAGGGTTGGCATAATCCTATCGTGTGCAATTAATCGTCCGAAAAACTTTAATCGATTATTTTTTGGCACTTGATGATTAATATGATTAATGCCACCAGGCAGGCAGACTGGGGATTACTCCGCTCAGTCTGCTTGTTGCTCCTCTCCGCTTCAAATATGATGAACATTAAAAAAATTCTGTAATTTATTTATCTATCAACACAATTTAAAAAATGATGTATAGCCTGAAGTCTGTAATTTTCACACAATTTGAAACAATTTTTTACAAAGATCAAATCTTTCCCACTAAATTGGTCATGTGACTACGAAATAAGGAAGTCCAGGGACTCCAGGGGATTAATCGTCAAATTAATCGTTACCGGATAAATACCACAATTAATCGTGATTTTCTTTTTTGCCAATATTGCCCAACCTTATCCAGTGCATGTTAATATAGCACAAAACTGTGTGTTATGGATGTACCAACAGAAGAGAAGCAGATTCTGCCTTGTTTACCTGAATGAGACATGACCAGAATTCAAACTAATATAATCGTTAGCAGATATTAGCTTTTTTAGCATATATTGCTATTATCGCTGGGCGATAAAACGATAACAATAAATATTGRGATAGATAAATGATCAATGCCAGTAGAAAATACGTCTAAGAGAACATTGATAATTTCACTAAACTCTGAATCAGATCCCGCACAGCATTCTGGGAGATGTAGGGAGAGGAAAGGCTTTAGTCACCGGGCCTCTCACGGCCCAGCTAAGCTAGGCTGGTGGCATCAACTCTCTCTCTGGTCTGGTCTTTTACAAAAAGTATTTTTAAAAAAATGAATGGTTTACATTCCCAGTCAGGCAGGGTCCAGGACACATCCACCTGCTCTACTAACCAGTTTCTACTAGACGTTCCAAGATCCAAATGAAAACACAAAATAGTCCAGTTTTTACAAACGTTTTAAAMCTGTGGAACAGTTTGTCTAGTCAAATACAGACAGCTGAGACTATAAAGATGTTTAAATCTCTGCTGCACATCTGTTTCTGTTCCTTCATGTTTGATTCAAGAAAGTAAAAGAGCCAGTAGAGATTGTTTTATATTTCTGTATTTTCATTTAGCTTTTACCTGTTTTATTAACATTTCTTATATAATTATGTTATATTTAACTGCTTATTGTTGTTTTTAGCTTTTTATTTGGCTGATTGTAAAGCACTTTGGTTTCTAATGTGCTATGAAATAAAAATGTARATTGGCACCTTAGAAGTGAAGATATGCAGATTTGGATGAATTCTTCTGTTATTATTTGTCATCAGAGTGGTTTTTAGATGTAGACATTTTGAGCTGCAGCCTCAGATATTTTGTGTCAAAGAGAACTAAAACAACAYCAATAAATTTAGCTGCGCTAGTGCTGCTTAAATTATAAAAACAAAGCTGAGGTGTGTTAAAGTCGCGCACAACAGAAGAATCTTTTTGACCAGTTCAAAATTCAAATGACAAGATTCTGACTCGTGAGGAAACTGAGACCCCGCAGGACGGTTACAGCCCAGTGACATACATCATGTTGAGTTAGAATTATTCCTGAATCAGCAAGCTTCTTATTTTTCATACTTTCGTTTCTTTACCTAATAACTGAAATATACGTGTGGATMTCCTGCTGCCTCTGTTTGTTGTGAGATGTTTTTTTTTCTGATGGGTCTCTAGGAGTTCTGCTGGGTCCAGAATGTCGTACAGAGTCTCTGAGGACAGAGTCAATCTCGTCATCTCCGTCTCCTGTCCTGTCTTCGACCCCGATGACCACAGGACACTCAAAGACAGGCAGCAGGGACAGCTGCACGCAGACTGACAAGGGTCAGAACCAGGACAGCAGCAAGCCTAACACTCCAGCCCTGCAGAGTATGACCTTACCGGCCCGCCTGTCCAGCCCCAGCCCCGTCTACATCCCTGATCGGTTAGCAGGTCTGTCCAAGACTGAATTACACACATGATGGTACCACACACACACACACACACACACACACACACACACACACACACACACACACACA